TATAAGTGGGTCCCCCTGTAGCGACCAACGTTGGTCGCTAATCTCAGTATACCTTTGACCAAGCAAGTCTGACCAGTCCGATCAATATTTTGACAAAATTAGCGACCAAGTAGCGACCAACCTTGGTCGCTAATGTATATCAAATAATTATTTTATTAATTTCGCCAATTTAGTGACCAACTTTGGTCGCTTTTCTTGACAGACCAACTTTGATCGCTAAAGTTTGGTTGCTTTTTTCCGGAATTCTAGTAGTGAAGCCACTTACAAATTTAATTGCTATCCGTTTTTTAGGGCAAACAGGTACAATGACAAATATGTATATCTTAGTAGAACTTATTGGAAATTTCAGTACATTTTTATGACCTATAAAAGAACTTCGATTTGCAATTTTATCAAATGTTCGTGCTCCCATTACGTCTGTCACACTTTCGTTTGCGTATCGAAGTGGTTAGGAAAGTAATCGGTTAAACTATAACCTATAATAAGGTATTCAAATTCTTTGAAATGGAAAATGATGAATTGAGGGCAATGATTGGATACAATATTTCCAAACTTTATGTCCCTACAAGCTTCATTGCCTTCAATTCAATTCCTTTTCCTTATACCTCTTTAAATGTCAATTAAATCTTAAGAAGGTAAAAGGAAAATTAAGGCAGTGAAGCTAGTATATAGGGACATAAAGTTTGTAAATATTGTGAAAAAAAACAATAAATTAATTTTTCCCAAGCATTCAATGTCAATTATCATTTCCAATTTTTGTAATTGTTACTGTATTACTAATATTATCAACACTATAAATAAAGGACTAAACAAATCTTTTTCAAGCACTGAATGTCAATTATTGTTTCTTTCCTTCAGTTTTCTTGCTTGATGCTAGCTGATAGGGATGGAGTGGGGCCACTTGAAAAAGATAGTCAGGTTCATTTTTGTGTTTTAAAATTAGACAATGCCCTTGTGAGAGTTGGAAAATTAAGAGGTGTTTTTCCGACTAAGTAGATTAGAATAATTTAAAGTAATATAATGAAAGGTCAATGGAACTAAAAATGGTACGGTTAAAAATAACAACATAGTCAAAGGGTTGAAGGTTCATTTATAATTTTCAGATTTTGGTATAATCCTATTATTTTCTAACCTCCCCC